TTCACGCCCTTGGTTGCATGGAATTCGGTGGCACCCAGTTTCAAAGCTTCTTCCTTCTTGCTATCTGTTCCGGAAAACACGACGACCTGGCACCCCATCTTGGCAGCGAACTGGATGGCCAGATGGCCCAAGCCTCCGACGCCGACGATTCCGACACGCGCGGTGGGACGAACTTGAGCAACGTGGAGCGCGTTGAACACGGTCGATCCACCGCACATCAAAGGGCCGGCATCCTCGTTGCTCATGTTGTCGGGGACCTTGAAAAGAAATGCTTCACGCCACACCGCGTGAGAGCCAAAGGATCCCTGATCAAAATCCGCCAAGCCATACATCTTGCGCTCGGTACAGAGAGTTTCCCAGCCCGTCAGACACTGGCGACAGTGCCCACAGCAATCATGCTCGTATCCCCAGCCCACGCGATCGCCTTTCTTCAAGATCTTGGCTTCAGGGCCGGTTGCTTCCACGACGCCTGTTCCTTCGTGGCCGAGGACCATGTCGACATTCTGGTAGTGGACATCGGTGAAGCAAACGCCGGAGTGGGTGATGCGAATGAGCACATCGTCGCGCTTCAGGTCGCTCGATCGTTGCGCAACTTCTTGTCGAACCGTTCCGTCTTTGGAACCTTTAAATAAGGTGACTTCAATGGGCATGTTGGACAATATTATGAATTGAACTGGTATTGGGGTTCCCTACTTCCTACTATTGGGAAGGCTCAACCGCCTTATATACTCCTCTGGCCTTGTACGTCATTGTCCAGCCTGACGGGACGTAGCGAGGGGCAACAGCTACGTTTGGGATTATTTCGTGTAGTGCTTCGCCGCAAACAAAGGTTTGAGTGGGAAAAAAAAAATAGTGATGCAACCTGGTGGAACCCAATTGCCATTTACGGAAGCGACTGGGCCGCTGATATCATCACCGTGAGAGTCGGGCCGAGAACTTGGGCCAAGAGGATTTATAACCGGCCGGTGGAGTATTTTCTAAAGTTAATTGAGCGTTTCCTGAACCAAACTATAGCCTTGGAAGGCCTTCATAGTTAATGCAGAGCAAAACAATGTACATGTATCCAGATATAGTTTTATATACACGGCCTTCTCCACCGACTCACGAGCTCAGCTCAGAAGGTGGTTTAGGTAGAATGCTTGGTGACAGTGAAGTTGTACGACGGCTTCATCTCATGCTTGACCGGGTAAAGGTCGCTGCCACGCATACGCATATCCCGAGCGTAGTACTCAAAGTTGAGGGCGTTGGCGCTGATGTCCAGGGTGACAAAGCCGTTGGCGGACTGCAGCTTGTCGGCACCGAGCCACTGGGCGAAGGGGCCGAGCTTCTCGCCGTAGTTACAGTCACCAGCCTGGGCGTAACCCGCGGCACCGGTGAGCACGAAGTTGGTGTCCTGGTAGTAGTAGTGGGCCATGCAGTGGTCGTGGCCGTTGATGACGACGCCGCTGTGGTCCTGGACGATGTTCATCAGCGGGGCCAGCTCGGTGTAGTTGCTGGACGACGAGACGTAGCCGTGGTGGATCTGCAGGAACTTCCAGTCGGCGTTGGACTCCGCGAACGACTTCTTGAGGAAGTCGACCTGCTTCTGCGTGGTCTTGTGGCAGGCCTCCAGGTACGGGGTCAGGTAAACCGAGCCCGACTGCTGGTAATCGTTGATGAAGCAGTCTGACTCCACCACGACGAAGGTAGCGGTCCAGTTGGAGCCGACCAGGTCGTAGGTGTAGTAGGGCAGGTGGTCGTGGCCAAAGTACCAGCGGTCATCCATAAGGGGAGCAATACGGGTCTGGAAGTCGACGGCGGGCTGGCCCTGAACAACATCGTGATTGCCCAAGCACTGGTACCACGGTTTGCCGTCAAAGGCTGTGCCGTTGTACATGCTAGCCCAGGCCTGATCGAAACGCAGGATGCCCTCGGTCTCGAAGTCGACACCACTGTCGTAGAAATTGTCGCCGACGGAGATGAAGGCAGAGCAATTCTTCATCAGACACACATCCTCAATGTACCGGGCGGTGTTCTCTATCATGATGTGTTAATCCATGATCTGAGGGAGATGCAAGAAAGACTTACTTTGCTCAATCGTGGCATTGCGGATATCATAACGGTCACCCGGGTCGCAGTCGTTCTGGATTTCGGTAGGGATGGTGACGCCATCCGCGATCAGCTTCGGCATGATCTCGTTACAGAAGGACAGCGGTAGGGGCTCCCAGCCAGTCCAGCCATAGTCTAAGGATTATTGATATGCTTGTCTTCTGTCTGTTAGGGAGAAGAATACTCACCACCCAGGAGAGCCACGGTAAGGACATCAGCACCCTGCGGCGCAACTATGGAGTTCTTGGCGGCGAAGGCACCAACGGCCAGAGCCAGAGATAGGACTGCACGAGACATGGTAAACACGTTGGCTTTACGGCGTTAGTTTGCGTCTTGGTATCTGAAGATCCCTGGGCGGCTCGCCCTTATTTATAAGTAAGAAATGATGGGTGAATTCCCTGCCGGAGATTAGGGCAAATTCTTTTGTTCCTGGATCCGGTCCCTTGTATGCCAAAAAGCTTAACCCCCCCCACGAATTGATCTTGGCTAACGGGAAGTCGCCATCCACCCTCGTGGCTCGACAAGAGTGGGGACTTTCATTGCGCTCGGACATGCTAGTCGCGACGGGCCACTGGCCCAACTTCCCACGTGTATCTTATTTAGCCTGTAAATAAGGAGAATAGAATGTCAGTTAATTTCCGACTAAGCGAAAATATTCTCTTCGTCGCTACGTCATAACGTCTACTCGCCTGGAGTCCGTCATTTCACCTCCAGAATTGGTGATGCTAAACATCGTTGAAGGCTATTACAGGCCCCTCTTCGATCTCAGCCACGGCACAAGCCCAAGCAGCGCTGGGGAGGTAATTGAGGTATGGTAAGGTCTCTGCCGTGTAGCACGCTCTTTCTACCGCTTCAGGTATAGCAAGTGCAAGGGATTTGACTTCTGTGAGATGAGCAAGGCAGCGCTCTGCACAATACTTTCTGTGGTAAGCGAGTGAAGAGATGAGAGTCAAGGAGAATCGAGACGAAATGTGCATTGCCGAAGATGCCGTGGCATATCCTTTGCCCTCCGGTGAGCAGACCACGGTTCCAGCTAACATCCTGACCCCTGGTGCACCATCTACGCTCCTGCAATCCAGGATAGTAAGGCCGCAATGATTTGAGATAAATGTCAAATTCCGGGGCGCGGTGACAGAACTGCACGAGGCCAGCGTCTTTTCCGACACTTCCATCTTGGGGCAGTTGCTGCATGACTGTTGGAGGTTCAGGAGCTCCTTGAGTTGATCTGCCAGCCTTGACACAATCAATTGATGGCTAAGTACAAGCTGTGTGATGATGCTGGTATCTCCCTGACAGGATCCGAAACATCTCCATTCAAAAAACTTCCACCCGTCTCGCTTGTAGAATTTCATAACCTCTTCTACGCTCGGTTCAATGTACGACTCTATGAGAGCTGCCTTCTCAGGAACACGATGTTTCACCATTCGGTGCATGTACAGAGTTCCGGTTCTGCCATAAAACAGTATGTCGGCCAGCGATCACTTTTAAGGATACGGGCCCAGCATTGGCGTTATATTTCTAAGAACGCTTGCACGTCTTTATCTGTACCTGATAGGCATACTTCCATAGATTTGACGGATAGCTTTTCGCTGCGTATACGGCCATACCCTTGCTTGAGGACGAGACCAACTTTAATAGCCTCGAGATCCCAGGATTGCAGATGGTGGCCCTCTATTTGGACATTGGGGTGCAGAAGTGAGATTCTAAATAGAAGGTAGACGAGACCTATGTGGCCGCTGAATACCCCTATCTGCATCTCTTCATAGTGTGTCCACGTCCTCGATGCCATTTCGGTTGACAGATGGGAAGGGTCTGTACAGGGAAAGCGTGGGCCTGCAAATTCTCTACCTGGAAAGAACGCTAGCACGACGTCCGTTATTTTTAGATCTGCGTAGAATCCGGACCCACATGTTGGTTTTTGCAGACTTCACAAAGGATCAAGCTCCGCCTCGCCTTCGAACATCCTACAGCTTCGACGCTGACCTACACCTTGATGGTGTATCGGAAATTGTTCCTTGGTTTTTCTAAACCCCGTAGCCTATTAAGCCTGACTAACTACAAAAGTACTAAATTAGTTAACTGACTGTTGCAACGAATCATGAGAACTTTAATCAGATTCACTTTCATAACTCAAGACCCCACCAAATGCGAATGCGAATATATCACACTGACCTCTGCTTCAATTTTTGTAAATTGCTTCACGACTTCGTTGCTATTCGCTCAGCAGGCTGTAGCTACCTCAGCTGACTACGTTAACGAGGCAGCTAAGAACAAGGCCTCCCGCGCTAACCCCGATCCTCAGCTGGCCCCCACTGCTTCCCCTATTTGAAGATTAACTTGCCCAGTTCTGTGGAACTATTTTTTCGTTCTTTAGCCTCCTCTTCCTACGGCTCTTTCCTTCAGGGTCAAGCCCTCGTTGCTCGACCTATGAATTATGCGGCGATTTCGCAAGCCTGATTGTTTTCTTATCTTCTTTTTCGCACTTCTGATCTTTGCGTCCTTAGGGATAGCCACCGTCCCGTGCTACTATCCAGACGGATTCAGCGTAGATGCCACCGATATCAATTATCAGCCATGCAAATACTCGAATGGCGGAACACACATGTGCTGTGCTACCAATCGCACCAATCCATTCGGCGGTAATGCTAGCTACGGACTGACCGCGGATCATTGTCTCCCGAATGGCCTTTGTTTGAATTCAATTATCGACAGCGATGGGTCACACACGCTCGCTTACTGGCGGGATACGTGCACGGATATTGACTGGTCTACTGGAGGCTGTTTAGATGTCTGCCTCGACCCAAAGGTATGTTGCATATGGATTCAGTCATTATTACTACGTACTCGGAAATGTGACATGCTGACCGCAGGATCTGAAATAACTAGAACAATGGCTCTAGAAGCAGCACTGTTCAATTGACTCCCTGCGATGGACAGGCCACTTCAACGTACTGGTGCTGTGGTTTGAATAATACGGCCTGCTGCAACACTCCAGATGCGATCCATATCAGCCAAACATTTGCGCGAACTGTGCCGGCAATCTCGTCCTCGTCTCCATCCTCCTCGAATGTGTCCTCGCCCTCCTCGAATATGTCCTCGCCCTCCCCGAATTTGTCCTCACCCTCTTCGAATTTGTCCTCGTCCTCATCAAATCTTTCGAGTGGAGCAAAGGCCGGAATTGGAGTAGGCGTTGCTGCAGGAGTGATAGCAGTCATTGCTCTTGCGGTCTATTTCCTGCGGCAACGAAAAAGAACCGCGGAGAACTCCGTGGCAGATAGCGCAATAGATCTCGTCAACATAGAGGCACAAGAACGACAGCTATCTCAGCAGAATTATGTTCATGAGAAGCCAGTGGACCGAGAAGGGGCCTATGAAAAACCTGCTGGATTTGAAAATTCGAGGTTCGAGAAGCCAGCTGGGGTTTCAGACATAAGATACGAGTTGCATGAATAACCAGTGGCAGGCAGAAAGACATAAACGAATATTATGAACCTATGGGTTGTCATCATTTGCAACTTTTGTAAGTCCGACACCATATCGTGTGCCGTAATGGCATCGGTGACCCTTTTCTTTTCTAGAAAGCAAGTGAGCGAATTTCCAATAGCAGTTTCATTTCATAATTCTTGAATACACACATATATATATGCACCTGTACACACATATATAAACAGGATAATGTCTGCCCTTCTGTGATGGACCTCGGGCTGATTGCGTGGATATCAGCTTGTGAACTGTGGAGCTGCATTGTACGTTGGGGGTGACTAGGAATTTATCTGATTTCTAGGTTCTCCTAGTCACTTGTTGGTATTCTGGCTGCAATACATTAGCAAACAGATTCCACATCACTGTCATTCTCTCCTATTAAAGTAGCCTCCTCTCCGAGCAGCCTCAGGTAGCTCGGGTAGCTGGTTTTTACCTTCGCCACTCGATCTCCACAGGAGCTGTGCCTGTTCACACCAGCGAACAATCATTCTTTGAACATCTAGTGCCGTTTTCACGCCGTAGAAAGGATCTAAGCCTACAAATGATACTACGCTAAAAATACGAGGACCCGTGAAACTGACGCCGAAAATGACCGCTTTGGAAGCCAGAAACAGCCGCTTTTCCATTCTAGCGGCTATCTGCCTATAAATTTGTAACACCCTATGGTAAGAAGGTCAAGTGGACTAAGACGGTCGACCGAGATGGAAGCTCTCATTTATTCCTAGTAGAGCCTGTGGCTTCGTTATAAAGGATATTCGCACTACTAATTTTTGGCGTAGTACTACCGGGCATCCCGGGACTTGCGACTATGCTCTGTGGAACTGTACAATCACCACCACTTTTCAAAAAGCACCCTCCTCTCCGCACCCTCCCCAAGAACCGGCCTTAGCAACTCAACCATCTGATCCGTCATCTGCGGCGGCCCACAAACATAGCAAACCGTCTCACGGGGATCAAGTCTCCCGTCGCCACCTACAGCCGCAGAGCGCAGATCATGCTCACCGATTCTCCTAGGATGAATCGTCAGATCCGCCAATTGACCCGCAGACGAAGTAAGTAGCGGGGACGACGACTCCAGGTCCGTCAGGAAAAGATCCAGGGAGATCCGTAGGCGGTGGGAGTGTAGTTGGGAACGAATTATCTGGCGCAGACGCGGCAGGAAGAGAATCTGGTTAAGGGTCTCCTCGGACGAGGATGTCTCTGATGCCCCGGGTGGCAGTTTGCTGGAGTATAGGAAGTGGATGTTTGTTGGGTGGTGCGGTGGTTGGAATGAGTTGTTACTTAGGTGAGAGAGAATAGAGATGAGGGGACTGTGTTTCGGATTAGATTCGTTGAGATGAAACAGACATGAAGCAAGCCCTTCAGGTCAGCACGTACTTGATGCCGACGCCACCGGCGATAAAGACTACATTCTTGACAGTCTCCACATCCATCCCGGCAGGCGGCCAGACGAAGCTTCCACCCACGCGGATATTTAGCTCCTTGCCTATGATTTCCTCCTTCGGCCGCCAGAGCCATGCGGCGGAGGGATTAGCTGGGGAATCCTGGACGGCCAATTCCACGTAGGGAGCCCGTCCCTGCGGTTCTGTGGTTTCTGTGGGTAAGGGCGCCGTCTCCCCGTCAGGCGGGGCATCCGGGGATGGCAGTGCTTCTGCATCTGCCGGCGTCGAGGTGATAGTGAAGCCTCCCGCCTGGGCAATAGATGGGATGTGAACATCTAGCCATTGGCCGGGCAGGAATGTAAATGGCTGTTGTTGTTTGTCATTCTGTAGAGCGGTTAGCTCGTTCGCCGATATGGCTAGTGTGGAGATGAAACAAGGGAGGCAGCGGCTATCGAGGGACTGGATGCTTCCGGGAATCATAATAATCCATGTCATGTATAAAAACATACACTATGATGAATGGCTAGCTGCAGCAGTCGCACCGACTGGTTGACCTGCTCCACATGGGACAGATGCACCGGGTACAGCCTGTTCTGGCGGGGCTCTGCCGCTGTACGCAGCTCGTGGGGGATGGAGTCTTCGCGGAACGACATGATGCCGCGCGACAGGGACCGGGGGTGCAGATGGGCCAGTCGGAAGAATGGCTTCATGGGCGATCGAGTCGAGTCTAGGTGAAAGTGGGAAGTGGGAGGTAGTCGGGGCACATGACCGACACAGACTCTACATTCTTATTTTCTTTCACTTGCACACTCTACTACACCTATCTCTATCGTAGTCCTACCGACTGAATCCTACTCCCTAAAATGAGCGACTCGCTGTGTGATGTAGCCCCGGCTCGTGCAGATCAGCCCATCCATCACACCGGCTAGCGTGTGACGACCACCGGCCGACCCTGCTCGTCCCACCTCTCATTGGCAGCCACCCCCCGGTCGCTGGCGGGCACTGGCGCTTTGCCGCCATCAAGTATTGGCCAGATGCACCTCGAGGAAACTCTTAGCCCATGCTGATTCGTGCCCCTCGTCTGCATCGGAGCCATGCCCATCATGCATGCCCACGATGGGCTCTCTGCTCTGCCATATCTAAACGCCCGTCCACCCCAAGCCCTTTTTTCCCCTTCTCTGCCTTGCTGTCGACAGCTGAGAGCTTGGTGTTGACCTGAATGTCCTCGCCAGCCGGTCTGGCCACTGCGCTGTGTTGTACATCATTCGACAGCCACTTCGCTCTTCAGCTGAACGGTCTTCATCTCTGGACCACCACCCATCCATCGTCACTATGCCGTTCTACTTCCCCAAGAAGCACCGGTATCATAAGTTGACGCTGTATTTCATGCTCGCCGAGCTGCCGATCACAGTCGTCATCTTGACCTTGACGGGTATTGCGTCGCACAACCTGTACCGTTCATTACTATGGCAGGACGGCGCGGACAATGGTTTCAACAGCGCTCCCAGCGAGGCGCTCTACGCCGCCGCCAACTATCGTCCATATACCGCTCCCATGGTGTGGTCATCATTGTAGGTCGTCCTCGATGAATCCAACATACAACCGTGCTAACCCAAGAGGCAGCCTCACCAATTACAACCTCGTCCTAGGAATCCTGAGCACATTCATGCTGATCGTCAAGTTCCCCGTCCATCTGATGCGTTTGTTCTATCCTCCTCTGGCGGCTTTCGTCCATTGCTCCTTGATCGTCCTCTATGCCGTCTCGGCACGGTTCCAAGCCGGGAGCGACATGTCCGACCCAAACCACCCCCAACCAGGCCCACCATGGTACATTACAAAGTCATGCAGCGTGGCCGCTCACCAGACGAACATCGGCTACTGTGAGCAAGCCAAATCCCTCTTCGGCGTTACCTTTGTAATCTTGTATGTTGTTGCGACGAGCACAATCTCCCCTCCTTCCCAAAAGAGAACCCCAGCTAACCCATCTTTCCCAGAACCCTCTACCTAGTCGAGCTAGGCTTCAACATCCACTCTTGCTTTGTAACCAAAGACGAGCGCAAGCGGATTGACGAGAAGAGAGAGGAAAAGAAGATCGAAAAGGAATTTGAAGAGGCCATCCTCAACTCCCCCGGCTTCGTCCCCATGAATCAACAGATGATCCCTCGCACACCGGGTATGGTCCCAGGGCACCACTACCCCCCCACACCAGGATACCCTTTCAGCCCAGGGTTCTCCTCCTTCAGCCCCGGAATCCCGCCCATGGCCGCCGGCGGAGCCATCTCGCCGTATACCCCGCGCACACTGGCTTTCAACCGCCTCGGCGGCGGCGGCAGCACATCTTCCGACCTGCCGCTGCGAGAACACCCACAGCCGTCGCCTAACGGCCAACCGTCCTCGACTGAGGCAGCGACTCCTCATACCTCGCAGGAGTCGCAAATGTACTTCCCGCCGCCGCCGAGGAAGGCCGCCAACAAGAGGTAAATATGCTTGGTGTGCGAATGTCGCTTTTATGTGTTGTTGTTCTCGCAAGTGATACCACCATTGCCTCTTTCATACACAGTACTACTCTCCTTTCTTATACCTTTATATTCTGCACCGGGATGGAGGATGGTGTTCTATCCCTTTTAATTTTCTGCGACGCTTCTGCGTCCGTCCGTCTGTCTGGACTTGGATTGGAGTCTTCCAAACATGAAAAATACACACATCCTAACTATTCATCACCATCATAATGGCGTTTTTAGGGTCGTTTGGATCTAAGTATCTCAATCTACACCAATTGAGAGCCACATTTATGCTATTTTCTTCCTGAACCTATATTTAAGGGGAAATCGGTACTAGTTAATGGGCCGACCCAGATCCATCATGTAAAGTCCATTCATTTCAAGAGGGAACTATCTGTCCATGTATTAAGACCCATTTCGAAACACGACAACAGTAAAAACAAGTCATTAAGTCATCAACCAGGCTACGATGTGTATAGCATGGAACCAATTGTAACCGCCACAAAATCGATATGTGCTCCGTCCCTCCGAAACCCCGTGGGGGTGTGTATCTTGGTGCAAAACGACAAGCCAACGTGGCAAGAAGAGACACAGACCAAGGAATTAGGCTACTTCTTGACGCTTCTTTTCCTTCTTGGACCAGCGCACTAAAACATAAGTTTGTTAGTTCTGAACCCCCACATATCGTCATGAACGAGAATCACTTACAGCCGCAAGCATTGCACAATGTCTTTGGTCCATTCGGACCCTTCCTCCACTCCGGCGAATCGGCAGTTCCACAATCACCGCAGACATGCTGACCCTTCAGCCTCTTGCGTCTATCGCCTTCCTGCGCAGTGCGGGCTTGGTCGGCGGCCGTAGTAATGTCGATATCACAGTGGATCAGACGACCGCGACGAACACCAGTACTGAGACCGTGCGATCTCTCGCCTTCTCCGTAGTGGAGACCCGTCATGACTTCGATGCCGTCGATGTGAGACAGACCCTCTAGATGGTGATACGTATCCGACGAGAAATATTCCATCGCGTTGGTATCTGAATCATCCGAATTATTGACCAAGGTCTCGGTCGAGTCATGGTCGCTAGAGACTCCTGCCTGTGCGGCCGCCGAGGCATTCTGAGCGTCGACCTGCGGTGCTCGGTTTACACTGGGCTTCTGATACCCAATGCGGGCTGCGGCGGCTTCTTCTTCCTCTTCTTCCCTTTTCAGCTTGGCAATCTGCTGCACCAGCCGCGCATTCTCGATCTTGTGTTCCAGGAATGAATCAAGCAGCTGGGAGACTTTGGATGGATAGGGTCGGCACACGAGAAAAAACCCGGTGCAGGGGCTCGAGACATTCCCAGAACCACGCGGCTGTTCGTTTGCAAGATGCGGATGCCCATAGGCCTCGAGGAGACTGTACGAACCATTTGACTTGTGGAAGCGCAGATGTGACCGAAAAGGCGCGTTGTTCGCCACGGCGTCGTCCAGGTCTTGCTGGAAAATGGGCCTGTCGTCGTCGTGGAGGTGCTGAGCAAGGACGCTACCTTCGAGCTGCTTTGCTACGCGGCCCGTGATTTGTTTCGAGGACGGCGACGCATAGGTGATCCGTCCCTCGGCGTTTAGAAGGAGCATCAAGTCTTTCATCTCGTCCAGCACTCGCTGCGTCCACGCTTGATCGCTTGGTACATTCTGGTACCCGCTGACCTGGGAGTCCTGCATCCCATATTGTCCGGCATAAGAGCCGGCCACGTTCTGTCGGTCCATCGACACGGGCATTTGCATGCCGTACGATTGTTGGCTATGCATGGCAATAATAATTCACTGGATAGTGCGGTGTGCCTTCGACGTCAGCTTCCTGGATCAAAGCGGGCAGCATCCGAGGTGGACAGAAAACTGATATAATCTGTTGACACCAGGGCGATGGCAAGCAAGCCCCAACTCCGGAATCTGGAGTTGGAATAAGCAGTAGAATCAGCTTGATTATTTATCCTTTGGTCTCCTAGACCAAAAGAAGTGCAACTTGGACTGGAAGAAGAACCAAGCTTGACAGGCTTAGTCACCTGACTTCGCGTCATTGCAGAGAAGTTGATGGATCACAACGCAAAAGTACGCGTGCTTCATCTTTGATCGAAGACGGTTGTGCTGGTCATCATCCAACACAATGTGAGTGCGCTTCACCCCCGGGTCTGGATCATGATTGCTAACTGCTCGCAGGTGTAAGTGCAATACTCAGCGGCTCTAGGCGCAATCAGTGCTGACAGACAGGTTTCCCGCGCAGCGAAGATCGACAAGCTCTCGATCCTGGGGTGCGTTGACACATTTTTTTTTTTGGAGCTTCACTCAAACCTTGCTGATGATCTTTTTTTAGAGTGCGCTCCTTCGACAACACGCGCAGCGAAACCATACAGTTCCATACACCCCTCACGTTGATTGTTGGATACAATGGTTCGGGAAAGACGGTACGCAAGACATGGCGGGAGATTGTACACACCCCGGAAATCTAACACGACCTAGACGATTATCGAGTGCCTCAAATATGCCACGACGGGCGACCTTCCCCCCAACAGCAAAGGAGGAGCCTTCATACACGACCCCAAGCTATGCGGCGAGAAGGAGGTGCTGGCACAAGTGAAGCTGTCGTTTAAGGGCACTTCCGGCGCGAAGATGGTGGCCACGCGCAGCCTACAGCTTACAGTCAAGAAGACAACCCGGCAACAAAAGACCCTGGAAGGACAGTTGCTGATGGTCAAGAATGGCGAGCGCACGGCGATCTCGTCGCGAGTGGCGGAGCTGGACCAGATCATGCCACAATACCTGGGTGTGTCGAAAGCGGTTCTCGACTCGGTCATCTTTTGCCATCAAGATGAGAGTCTGTGGCCGATGAGCGAGCCCTCGGTACTGAAGAAGAAGTTCGATGAGATTTTTGAAGCGATGAAGTACACGAAAGCCATCGACAACATCAAAGCACTGCGCAAGAAACAAAACGAGGAACTTGCCAAGTTCAAGATCATGGAGCAGCATGCCAAAGAGGACAAGGATAAAGCGGATCGCGCCGAGAAACGCTCGATCAAGCTGCAAGGGGAGATCGAGGCTTTACGCGAGGAAACTCACCAAATGTCGCTGGAAATGCGACGCGTTGCAGACCTCGCCGACAAAGCCTGGAAGGAATCCGAGAGCTATGCTCAGATATTGGGAGCCCTGGAAGGGAAGCGCATCGAGGCCAAAAGCATTGAGACCACCATCGAAAACCTGAAGAAACACCTTGTTGAGCTGGACGACTCGGACGAATGGCTTGAATCGACTCTGGAGCAGTTCGAGTCTCGGCAGGTTCAATATCAGCAGCAGGAAGAGGCTCAAAAGGAGAATTACATGGGCATCAAGGAGAAAATCGAACAGTCTCGGCATCGCTTGGGCTTAAAGCAGGCCGAAAATGGAAAGTACGAAAACGACAAGGCCAATTTCGAGCGCCAAGTCTCAAGACGACAGGCCATGGTCAATGAGATGGCTCGCGATAACAACATTCGTGGTGTTGATGACAACATGGATCAGGCTGATATCGATGCGTTCATGCAGAAGATTCGACGTTCCCTAAGAGAGCAAAACCAGGCTCTGGACCGTGTGAAGCGAGAAGCCCAGAAAGAGCTACGTGAGGTTCAGGATATTCTCAACGAAATTGGGCAAAAGAAGTCTGCGTTGCAAGAGAGCAAGAACTATGCGAAGCGGCAAATCGCGTCTAACGACAATGAAGCAGCGACATACCAAGCTAAATTGGACGAAATCGAAATCGACGAGGGCGTCCAGGCTGTCCTGGAGTCCAAGGTTGAGGATGTTTCTTCCAATCTTGAGCATGCAAAGGAAGGTGCCAAATCCGCATCTTGGGACCAAGATATCCAAGAAACCAATGCAGAGATCCGTCGTCTGGAGGATGAGAGTTCGAGGTTGAATGCTGAATTGATCGAATCCACAAAGAAGGCCGGCGATCTCGCCCGTTTGGACCACCTCAAGAAGGAGGCCAAAGACCGGGAACGCAGCTCGCAGACCATGAAAGGAGCCCACGGTGATCGACTTGCGAAAATTGTCGGCGTAGACTGGCAACCGGAGACTTTAGAACGAGACTTCCAGCGAGCACTCGATACCGAATCCAAACAGGTGGCCGATGCAGAGCGAGATCGTGATGGCGTGAACAGAGAACTGGAACACGTCGAGTTCAAGCTCAAGACGGCCAAGAAAAATCTGAAGCAACGGCAAAAGGATCTCGACGACTATGCCAAGGAGATTCGTGAAGCTGTTGAGACGGAGCCTGCCGAGTTCCCTGACATGCTCAAGGAACGACAGGCACAATACGATCTGGCTCGCAAAGACGCCGACCAATACGCCGGAATGGGCGAGTATCTCAGCAAGTGTCTTGAAGCCGCAAAACGAACAAAGCTTTGCCGAACATGCCAGCGGTCTTTTAAGAACGAGGCAGAGCTTCAAAGCTTTCAGAAGAAACTGGAGAATCTTGTCAGGAAGGCCACAGAGGAAGCTGAAGATGACTCCCTGAAAGGCATTGAGCAAGACCTCGAAGCTGCCCGCGGCGCGAGCGCTGCCTATGATGCATGGGTTCGCTTGTCTGAGACAGATATCCCAGAACTAGAGCAGGAAGAACAGGAGTATGAATCGCAACGTGATGAGCTCTTGGGCCGGCTGGAAGGGCACGACCGTACCGTTAGTGAAAAGTCTGACAGCAAGCGAGAAGTCGAAGCGCTCTCCAAGACGGTCAGCACCATTGCTCGGTACGATGTTGAAATCAAATCGATCAACTCGCAAATCCATGAGCTCTCCGGCAAGCAGCAAAATGCCTCTGCCGGACGGACCTTGGAAGATATCCAGGAGGAGATTTCCGCAATTGGCGAGAAAATCCGAGCTCTGAAGAAGACTCTCACCAAACTCACGAATGACAAAGACCAAACCCGTACCGAGATCAATAATCTAGAGTTGCAGCTGAGAGATGTGCGGAGCAATCTCGACAACGCCAGATTCCAGCTGGAGAAGAAGAGCGACTTGCTTGTCAGACTGGAGGAGTACAAGAAGCTCAACACGCAGCAGCGAGAAGCAATCGAAAAGGCTGACCGAGATATCGAGAGTCTTACGCCCGAGTTGCTTCAGGCACAAGCCCGGTATGATGATATCAGCCAACGGGCCGAGACCCGTGAACGAGAGCTGCAACAGGAGATCAGTCGGCTGTCGGAGAGCATACACCAGCTGGATCTGGCAAACGAGGATATCAATTCGTACAACGAGCGAGGAGGTCCAAGTCAGCTCGAGCGCAGCAAGCGGGAGCTTCAAGGCATTGAAGACGAGATCAGCAAGCTCGAAGCTGAGCAGGCGGAGATCACGCGAGAAATCAACAAGATCTCAGCCCAACTCAAGGACAGCGAGAACACGAAACGGCAATACTCGGACAACCTCACATATCGCCAAGCGAACCGTTCCCTGGGCAAAGTGGTAGAGGAGATCGAGGAATTGGAATCGCAGAACGCCGAGGTCGACCGCAGTCGTTTCAAGCAAGAGTCCGAACGCCGAACGCGCGAGCACAACGCCCTTGCCGCCAAACAAGCCAGCAAGATGGGTGAAATGAAGTCCAAAGACGACCAGCTGATGCAGCTACTGGCCGACTGGAACACGGACTACAAGGACGCAGCCTCCAAATACAAGGAAGCCAATATCAAAGTCGAAACAACCAAAGCCGCCGTGGACGATCTCGCCCGCTACGGCGGCGCCCTCGACAAGGCCATTATGCGCTATCACGGGCTGAAAATGGAAGAAATCAACGCCATCATCGGCGAGCTGTGGCAGAAGACCTACCGCGGCACCGACGTGGACACGATCCTCATCCGCTCGGACAACGAGAACGCCAAGGGCAACCGGTCCTACAATTACCGCGTGTGCATGGTCAAGCAAGGTGCCGAGATGGACATGCGCGGCCGCTGCAGTGCGGGACAGAAAGTCTTGGCTAGTATCATTATCCGTCTTGCGCTGGCGGAGTGCTTCGGCGTTAATTGTGGTCTTATTGCTCTGGATGAACCGACTACGAACCTTGACCGTGACAATATCCGCTCGCTCGCTGAGTCTCTGCATGATATCATCCGTACTCGTCAGCAGCAGGCGAATTTCCAGCTTATTGTCATTACCCACGACGAGGAATTCTTGCGTCATATGCAGTGTGGTGACTTTACCGATTACTACTACCGTGTCTCGCGCAATGAGAGGCAGAAGTCGATTATTGAGAGGCAGTCTATTGCTGAGGTATGTTGTTTGGATGTCGGTCTATTCGTTTGCTAATTTCGTTGCAGGTCATGTAATGCAGCGTTATCATTTCTTATTTCATCTCACCAGAGTTGAGCGTTTTGATTTGTTGATTTTTATTTCCTGATCAAGATGAATGAGCATATCTCGGCGTTGACAGGGCACCCATATTCAATGATAGCTTTTACGATTTGATACCCTTGCATCATAAAAAGCGTTCTTTCCATTTGCATCAATAAGACAGTAGATGTAGCATTCGTATAATCAACAGCCATAGCCATTCACTACTCCCCAGCCATCAGCACATCTTCCTCGGCATCCTCCTCATCCAATAACGGCACAAACCGAAAGTCCACGAAACACACCGTCCCAACAGCAGCCGTCTTAACTCCAGCCCCGACAGATCTCCCCGCAGCAACACCCTGCTCATCGAGTTCAATCATAAACTGCAGACTCAGCACGCCCTGCCGGTCACCCCGAATACTGACTTTGTTCGCAACAGCCATCGCGCGCGCAGCTTTGCGCACCAGTGCAAACCGATAGCTCTGCTGAATCCGTTCGCCCATAGCTGACGGCGGAGAAACCAGGAACGTCTCGGTGACGGTGGGAGCAAGCTTCGCTCGCGTTGCGCGCGGACGGGCCGAGCCGTCGTCTGCGAGGATCTTGTGATGTGCCTGTGTCTGCGACTGCAGCTGGCCGCCCTGGCTTTGACCTAGTGCTCCACCGGTGATTTCATTATGTGTGTCGATGGAGAATTCCACCGTGGATTCACTGAATGGACCGCCCGCGCCCGAGAGCGCGAAGTACGGCTCACGCGTGGCGCACGCAGAGAGCTTGAGAATGGTGGGGGTGCTGGAGTCGAGCTCGGCGATGGCGTTGTGCAGCCAGGTCGAGCGCATGATGATTTTCATGATGATGGCGTCGCGCTGGAGTGGGATGTCGGCGTAGTCTTCGTCGGGCTCGTAGGTGTTTAGCTCGCAGGTTGTTACTACGCCGGCTTCGGTGAGGGTTATGCTCAGCGGGGCGCCGTGCTGCGCGTATTGCAGGGTGCAGGTGCGGTCCAGGAGTAGGGCCGGGGCGTTGAATGCGCTTGAAGACGCGGTGTTGTTGTGCTGTGTGCGTGTGTATCCAGAGGGATCGGACTCGGAGAGCTCGTTTAGACCGAAGATCTTGAGGGTTTCGAGGATGGCGGAGAGGGAGACCACGAAGTGTGGCCAGTTGGAGTTATCGGAGGAGCTACTGTCGTCGTCGTCTCCATTTTGGTCGGAGTGCGTGTTGTCTGTCGGCGGGTTGTTGAATGTGTAGCTGGTGAAAAGGGACTTGTCGAGGAATGCGAGGCCCTGGATGACACGGGCTTCTTCCACAGAGAACCGGAGTCCACCGGGGGTGATCTGGACGGTGGCTTTGGAGGCGAAGCCAATGCAGGAGAGTAGAGTGTAGAGATGGTGGGCATTGTTAGAGACACCGGCAAAAAGGGGCTCCATGATGGTTGTGTTGTGGTTGAAGGCCCAGCTATGCCCAGTGGGATTGGGAGAGGACAGAAGTCAATAAAATGATGGCTTGGGTATAGTTTCTAGCAGTACAGGCCCCAGTGCACCCTCCTCTTATGGTACATGGAGGGAAGTGGGCTAGACGTAGACTCCGACAGCGCAGAGAGTGGCCACCGCGCCGAAACTGTTCCCGATTTCAGATATTAGTGTGTCTGTTGTAGCTGTGTGTCATTGATGTGGTGGTGACTGACCCCAGTGATAGTGCTGCTGGCACGCCTAGAGTCGCAAGGCTGGAAAAGGACCGGTCTGTTTGGAGAAGAGCTGTGAGGATCCCAGTCGGCCAATGGGTGTGAATACTAAATGAACTCACTCAGACCAAACATGCACGTAGCGACCAGCGCTATGGAATCGATGTCAGTGGAGATCAATCTTGGCTTATGGGGGAAGCTCTAGTACCGATGAGCAGACAGTTGAAGCCAAAGGTGGCCTGGCTGGACTTGGGGATGAGAGGGTGAAAAGGAGATGCGGAGGCTGCCTCCCAGACTTCGTTCAGCGACATAATAATCGTGTCAATGGCAATTGAATAGTGTGTTTGGGGGAAAGAGAGACAGAGAGATGAGCAGCTGTAGATGCTCAGCAGCTGATCTGGCCGGTTCCGTCCGGGAAATAGTTATTCCGTCACCGCCCCAGGCGATCACCACCATGCCAATCGACCAGCAACCGCGCATCTGCAACTCTTGCTTTGTGCTCAGCCATCATGGCGGTTGACTCTCCCAGAAGTGTGTCCCATCCCAATTATCTTGTCAACCGTGTTCGCGTCAGCTGACCTTCTTCTCCCACTAGGCTCTAAGCGCAAGGCCTCGGAGGAGGCCGCTTCCCCGGACTCTCAGCTGCAACACAGCAAGAAAGCGCGAACAGATTCCCCCGAGAAAGAGGTTGGTGTCGCACCACAGCGTGAGATGGAATGTGTGTCTGACAACCCTATAGGAAGATGGCGCTCTGCGAAAACCACCACTGCGGATCGTCCCTTTTCCCGAGAAGGTGAGCCTCACTCATCCAGTTCCACGCACCACCAGGTTAACATCAAACAGCCCGCCGTCCTCGAGGAGCGCCGGGGTGACATCGAGTTTCGAGTCGTCAATAACGATGGGTCACACGACAGCTTCATTGTCCTCACGGGACTGAAGTGTATCTTCCAGAAACAACTCCCGAAAATGCCCAAGGATTATATTGCCCGACTCGTCTACGACCGATCACATTTGTCGATTGCAATTATCAAGCACCCACTAGAAGTTGTTGGGTATGTACAAGGACACCCAAAATCGCGGGGCAGGTGCTGACACAGCGACTGCAGAGGGATCACATATCGACCATTCAATAGCCGCAAGTTTGCGGAAATCGTGTTCTGTGCGATTTCATCCGATCAGCAGGTCAAGGGCTATGGTGCACACTTGATGTCTCACTTGAAGGTAAGACTTGGGATGGAATGCCCTGAATGGGAACAAGCTGACGGAACGCGCCGCAGGACTACGTGAAGGCCACGTCCCCGATCATGCACTTCCTGACCTACGCAGACAATTACGCCATTGGATATTTCCAAAAGCAAGGATTCACCAAACAGATCAATCTGGACCGGTCCATCTGGATGGGATACATTAAAGATTACGAGGGCGGCACCATCATGCAGTGCACCATGCTCCCCAAGATCCGGTACCTCGAAGTGGGTCGTATGCTACTCAAGCAAAAGGAGACCGTGCGTGCCAAGATTCGCGCATTCAGCCGTTCCCATATCATCCACCCGCCGCCCAAGGAGTGGAAGGGCGGAGTGGTCCCAATCGATCCACTGATCATTCCCGCGATCAAGGAGTCCGGATGGTCACCGGATATGGATGAATTGGCGCGCCAGCCCCGTCATGGACCGAACTTCAACCAGCTGTTGCATCTGTTGAACGACATGCAGAACCACAGCGCCGCCTGGCCATTTACGCAGCCGGTCAACCGCGACGAAGTGCCGGATTACTACGAGGTGATCCTGGAGCCGATGGATCTGTCCACAATGGAGGAGAAGCACGAGAAAGACATGTATCCGACGCCGCAGGATTTCATCAAAGATGCCTCGTTGATCTTTGATAACTGCCGGCGGTACAACAACGAGACTACGCCGTATGCGAAGAGCGCGAACAAGCTGGAGAAGTTTATGTACCAGCAAATCCGCAATATTCCTGAGTGGTCGGTGAGTAGACATGATTCCTCTTGTTGAGTTTTGCTGATCTGTGTCTATGTAGCACCTGGCGGACGGGCATTGATTTGATTTTGAGAGATGGCGTTGGGGAACATGGCCCATAAATACCCTGTGGATAGCTGGCGTACTAGATTTTATTGTTCACTATATTATTTCAAGTCTACTCCTTGAGTTAACCCTTGCATGATGCTAGTCCGGACTCTGTATACTTCCCGTTTTGACATCATGTGGCTGGATGATCTTCATATCGGACCAACGTTGATCCGTTGTTTCATCGTCAGGAGTTAGTGTAGTTAGTGACAGCTCTTGTTCGTAGCGCTCCCTCCTTTTTCACTACTCACACCCGGTGTCTTCATTCTTTTCCCTTACCCATCCACTGGCGGGCCTTTATTTTTGCTTCTCTTCCCATTCGCTTGCTGTTGAGCGGCTGCCAGCCCGATTTCGAAACCTCGTCGCGGTCAAGGGGCTCCCCTATTTCTTGTCGGCCACACCGCGACAGACTTAGGACCCAATTGTTTTGACCCGCTCCTTTCTTTTTTTACCTACTCAGCGCCATTCCTTCGCTCAGTACAGCATTTGACTGCTGTTACTACCGCTGCTTTACGCTCGCTCTTCTACTCGACGAGCCTCGTTTCGCCCGTCGCCCCTTTTCGCGCCCCTCCTTGTGACATTCAACTCTCGGAGCTGAAACCCCCCGACTTGTGCCAACTACTTTCCACCCGCAGCCAAAATGGCGACCGACACCTTCTCCGACGGGCAGCAGCGCAATCGCCTCCCAACACTCTTTGAAGTCCTCAGCCGTCGGACCCTCGCTCCGGTTGATCTCTTTTCCTTCTACATTTATATGCGAGATCAGCAACGCTCCGTGGATTATCTGGACTTTTGGTGAGCTCGATTTCTCTTGCTGTAGTGGTACCTCTCTAATTCTGTATAGGCTCGATGTCTCACAACACATGTCCTTGTGCCGTCACTATGTCCGTGAATTGCGCCGCTCCGTCTTGGTTGCCACTCCCGATATGGAGAAGAACGACAGCAAACGATCATCCGCGATGCTAGAGAACTTGGAGAATCTGGGAGATATTTCGTTGGGGGAGGCCGGACCTTCTCGTCTGCGGGACGGATTCCAGGAAGACGAGAAGGAAAGGGATGCTACCCACCGGCTGTCCGCGTTCCTGCGCTCAGAAGGCCATGGTTCGTCTCACTCGCCGCAGAACAGTCTGGGATCTACGTCGGCGTACCGCACCCCATCCAACGACCAGCAGGCACGTCCCAGTACGGGTACTCGCAACAACGACCACTCCAACTCTCCTGGACACACAGTCGCCCGCCAGGATATCCGGGCTAGTGCCGAGAAGATTCTGTACACCTATCTTCTCCCTGGCTCCGAGCGAGAAATTGTCCTGCCGGAGACCATGGTCTCAACCGTCATTAATCTTATCGAGGACGACGGCCGTGACGACCCCGAGGTTTTCGATCCCGCCAAGGACTATGTGTTCCAGGCCATGGAACGCGATGCCTTCCCAGGATTCTTGCAGGCCAAGGCTTTGGGGAACATCGTGCCCTTGAGTATCCTTGTTCGCTTGATTTTTGCTCTGGTTGCCTTCTTTGGCGGGTTCTGGGGTGCTTTTTATGTGGTGCTGCGAAATAAGCCCCGCGATGTTCGTTGCTGGGTACGTCCATGTTTCTTTCACGGCTCCTTTGGTCAAGTACTAACGTCGAGATAGGTGATCCTCCCATTTGCTGTTGCGGCATATTTCATCATTTCGTACCAATACAAGATCGACCCCGCCATGGCATTCCTGGGCTATAGCGAATACACATTTATGAACTGGGCGCCAATTCGCGAGCCCTATGTCCGCCGTCTCCTGAATAAGCGTGCTCTGGTGACCATGCTGGTTGTTTTCATCACTGCCGCGGCTCTGAGCATTCTATTTATCTTCGTTCCCGGTACCATGCTGTGAGAGCTGTTCATTTTCGAACCTCCTTGGGGGTCGATAGTGAATTCTTTCCCGCGTCATTGGAATAAAACTGCTCCGAAGCCAGAAGCAAGCGATACCAAAAATCTTGCACAGCTACAAGCCGTCGACGGCGTTTTCAGATGGATACATAATGAGGTCTTTGTTTGCTTCTGCGAAACATTCTTTCACGGAAACTCGTCTGCTCTGAAGGAAGGATACCGCGCAGCTCATAATCTGCAGAGCTGCGGTTGATCCAGAGAACATTCGAGTATTCTTCTCCTCCCGTCCCCCGCCAGTAGGCGGTCATATCGTCTTTTTCTCTTTCTATGCTGTCAATACCGTCTGTCTGTGGTCATATTATTCCCCGCTGCTGTTTAATTCTCTTCGACCAATACCCCCTTTCTTTTTTCGGGTTTTCTTGTCTTGTATCTATGTCCGCAAAGAGCTCTGTTGCTAGATAGGGCTGTTACGATTGCCGTCTTCCAGCCCATATACTTGTATCAATTGACGTTTTCTGGGTTTCATTCATCTCTTCAAAAAGGAGGGCAATGCCCTTGTAGGTTTCATGTGTAATAATCGCTGATTCTTCGAACCTCATGAGCCAACCAAAACAAATAAAGAGTCGTGGAAAGTGCTGTGCCGTTATCATCATGATTCAATCACTCAGGATTTCTTCCCGAGTATGCGCTTGGAATGCCTGCTCCCAGCGGCCCTCGACGACGACCCAGCACCCTCATCAATATCCATGCCATCCGTATTAATATCCCAGAACCCATCATCCTCATCCACATCGTCAGCACTAAACTCCCTCTTATTGCGACCCATCCCCGCCGCCGCGGCGCCCAGCCTTCCAAACACACCCTTCTTCCCAGCAGCCCGTCCTGATGCGGCACCATTATTCCCCGCATTCTCGGTGCGCTGCTTAACCGCCTCCTCCAAGAGCGTCTGGTATTCTTGCTCCTTGACTCGCCGTCTTGCGGCATTGTTCTTCACTCGCGCGATCTCGGCCTCGAGGTCGGAGACAACGTCGCCGCACCGCGTCTCCCACTCTGTTAGCAGAGCGATCATCTTCGGGAGAGACTGCGGCTGCACATCGCGGAGGGGCGCTACCGCTGTCACCTTCACGGTGGGCGGGTCAGATGCGGGGCTGAGGCGGGCGGTTATGAGGGAGGCGTAGATGGCGGTTGTGACGAGAGATTCGAGGTCGGATGTCGTAGGGAGGGAAAGCGCGGTCATGAGCGCCGAGTATGTGAGTGGTTTTGTGGTTGTGGAGAGGGTGAGGAGGGAGAGAAGGCGCAGCTTGAGCGTTTGTTCCCTGCTGAGTTTGGGGAGGTTGGGCGTTTCTGTTTGTCAATGTGAGATTTGATAGTCAAACCCCCCAGAGGAGGGGAGATATGGTTCGGGACGCACCTTGGTACTCTTGCCAGGTGCCCCAGGCAAAGATCTCTAGCAGCTTCAGGTACCCCTGGTATTCGGCCGGTGTGTCGGGGGATCCCAGGGCCTGGATGGTCGGGGTTTCGAGCAGCTCGGCGAACACGTAGGTGTGCGGGCTGGAGGTGGCATTGGTGACGATGTTGGCGACGAAGCGGGGAGAGGTGGCGCTGTTGGAGTTGGCTAGGTGGACGAAGGGCTGAAGAGCCTCCAGGGCTCGGGTGTGTGTTTGGTCCATGGCTGATGGGGGAGAGTACGCAGGATGCGGATGATGTGAGTATTGATGCTGGGGTGGTGCTTGTTTGCATTGTCTGCAAACACCGGATCTACTCTATAATCACTACTCTTGGGCATGGACTGCAGAGCATTATGTTTTGGTATTCTGTCTGGAAGAGTGTCAGATTTGACTTCTTGGGTATCTCTTCTCTATCTCGGTCGCTGGAAGAGTTCATTGGGTACCTCTTGAATGTGGGCTATGCGAAGTGTTGACCGCAGCACTGGTACTCGTATTCGCTTTCAGCGGGTTCAACAGTAATTCCCTCATAAGTAACGTACTTCTCTTCTTATTATTTATTAATCCAGATCGCTCTTCTCTTACATTGTCACTGGGCTACTTGGATTTCCAACCGGCCCATCACGTCAGCTGCAGCGCCATACATATTGAACCGGGGCCTGCATTCTTCAGCGTGGCACGCTAGAAATGGCCACGATCCACCGTATGGCGTAATCACATCCACCCGTCAACCTGGACAATTATCTACCTTTTCTTTTCTCTTCTGCTCTATTGTCTCTTTCACTCTTGTCCCGGGCACGTCGCGTGTCTTCATTTGCCGTGGTGGCCCCTTTGTTCCCTCAATCGGGTATTGATCTGTCGGCGTGTGAGCCATCCGAGCCATCCGCCCTTTATTTGATTGCAAATCCACCTTGCCGATCTGATAAAACCGAAGACACCCAACACTCCTCTTCAACACACCCATGCGATAGCACATCCTCATTCCTCCCGCCGAGCGCCTTCCCTCCTGTCGTCATGTCTTCGGAATCCACAGGCGCCGGGGGCGAAGGCCCTGTGCCGCGGCGACCACCCGCCATGGCCACGACAACTCTCAAAGTCGACGGGATGACCTGCGGCGCATGCACCTCAGCCGTGGAGGGTGCTTTCAAAAACGTCGCCGGCATAGGCGACGTCTCTGTCAGTCTGATCATGGGCCGAGCCGCCGTCCAGCACGACCCCTCCATCCTCCCCCCGGAGAAAGTCGCGGAGATGATCGAAGACTGCGGGTTCGACGCGGCGGTCCTGTCGACCGAGGAGCAGACAAATAAAGGCAGTGCCTCCGATGGCCAGACAGCGCGAGTCTCGCTGACCAACTTGGCGGTCGAGGGTATGACCTGCGGCGCATGCACTTCGGCCGTCGAAAGCGGGCTCAAAGACGTACCGGGCGTCAAGTCGGTCAGTGTGTCGTTGTTGTCGGAACGAGCAGTGGTAGAACACGATGCGGATACAATCACGCCAGACCAAATCGCAGAGATCATTGAAGACCGCGGGTTTGGGGCACGGGTATTGGACACGGCATCAGCCATGAAGGGGCATGAGGTTTCGAATGCGCTCGATGTGGCCGACGACAAACCTGGTCTATTAGTAACCACCGTCGCCGTCGGAGGTATGACCTGTGGTGCT